TTTCAATTATTTGCTTTTTTTCGTTGCCAAGAAATACAAATAGGAGATAAGAAGAATAAAATAGAATACACCATAACATAATGATGAAATAATAAGATAATAAAGAAGAGATAATGGAAATAAACAGAATAATAAATGAAAAAGAAGAGAGTATATAAAACATGTTATAAAAGAAATAATAAAAAAAGAAATTAATGAAATATATCAAAATATACAAAATAAGAATCATTCATCTACACTAATAAATAATTAAAGAATAAATAGCATGAAATATAATAATAAATTGAAAATGAACAAATAATAATTACATTAAATGATAAATGAAATGATGTAGTGTTTATAATGATAAAATAACAAGAAATAAATAATAATAATAAAATATAATATAAATAAACAAAATAATAAATAAACATGAAATAATAAATGAATATATGAAGAGATGAGAGTAACTAAAATAACATATAAAAGAAATGTTATGAGGAAGAAATTGAGAATAAAAACACGAGAAAATACAAAGAAAATAAACAACAATACAAATAAAAATTGTAAAAACAAAATAAGGATAGAAAATAAAAAATAACGAATGTACTGAAACAAAAAAATATTCAATAACAATGAATAAATCATAAAAACAATATATTTATATAGAATATAAAACAAATGAAATACATGACAATTGTAAATGATACAAAGATAAAACTAATATTAATTAATAAAATAGAAATGTATAAAACAACCAAGATAAAATAAAACAAATTAATAGATTAAATTAAATTCAATAATAATTACAATAAATTGAATAATCAATAAAGAAACAATAAAAAGAATAAAGAACAAAAGATAATAATTTTAAATTTAAATGATGATAAGATATAATGAATAAAAACATGAAATACCTAATGAAATACCAATAAATAGAAATATAGAAGTATTTCATAAACAATATATTCAACAAAATAAACGAAATAATTTCAAATTAATAAAATCTAGTAATTTTTCTTCAATGAAAATGAAAGATTTGATAAAAATAAAATGATTTCAATTACTAAAACTAAAAGAACCAGATGAAGAACTGTCATTAATAAAAGAAAGAACAGTTTCTTGGATAAGGAAGAATAATGAAATCATAAACAAAATCAAAGTAACAAAAAATATTATCATTACAACAAATGGAGTTGATGTAATAATATCTATATAATAAATCTTATTAATCTTTTAACCTATCAAATAAAATAAACAAACTTGTAAATGGTGTTTTCGGTTTTATAGTAAATAATGTAAATCCATTAAAACGATATAACGACATAAATATAAATAAACAAGGAAGAGTAAAAGCAAGGAAAAATGCAATAATTCCAGCAAAATCAAAAATAATTTCTAATGAATCAATAAAACAAGTCAAAATAAAAGGAGGGAATATTGCTAAAGCACGAGAAATATATTTACATTTCTTTGGATGATTAAGAACATATCTGTGTGGGAATAAATTTTCAATATTCATTGCTAATGTATTTGATAAAATAGGAAATGAACTTGTTAAATTAAAAACAGGGAAAAAGAGGATAAGATATTTAATAATATATGCAAACCATAATTCCTTCCCTTCTCCCCAACCTCCATTTCTTCCAGTATATGTTGACCAATTTAATGTTACAGGTGTTAATACTTTACCATTAAAAGTATATGAACAAATAACAGCAATTAATGCATAAAAAACTGATGCAATTGATAAAGCAGAGATAATAGGTAAATTAACTTTTCTTTTTTCTCCCTTAACTGGTGAAATGATACTTGGTATTGTATGTTGAACAACAAAAGCAAAGGCTGTATGTGTAAATACAGTTCCAAATCCATTCCAATAAAAATCAAAAACATTTCGTTCATTAGTTAATGGACCATCCACAGCTACTTGTATTATACACGTAATTATCATAACAGTAAATGAACCAAAACGTACAATAGTTAAAATGATGTGAACAATTGCTTGTTTTCCTACATCAAGAAAACTTAATGGGATTACAACTAATCCATAAATGATTAATGATCCATAGTATGTTAATTGACATTCCCATGAATCTAAAAAGTGATTCTTTGAATGGCAATAATCTTGATTTCCAATAATAATCCAAATAATTGTTGTAAATGTTTTAATACATGTAGCAACATATGCCCATAATCCTGCATAACAATTAAGTACTAATGACAAATTAGCAAAAAACTTTAATGGATAACTTCCTAATCTATATCCCATTTCAGTATATCCATACGTCTCTTTAATAAAACATTTATTTTCTTCAATAATTTGTGGACTTTCCTTGAAAGACTTTGGTAAAATATTTAATCTACTCAATGCTTCAAGAACATATCCTGAAGTGATGTTATTAACAATAAAAAATAGAATTAAAACCATTAAACTTGGATAAACTCCTGCTTCATAATAAGCAAAAGGTAATCCAAATATTCCTGTTCCAATAGCTGCATTAATAATCAATGGAAATACAGAGAAGGTTGTTATTGTTTTTATTTTCTTATTACCTTCATTTAAAGGTTCTTTTTCAATGTTTTCAATAGGTTGTAATAAAGGTTGGTCGTTCATGGCTTACGCAAACAATCTATTTTTCAGTTTTTATAGAACTAAACCTAAATAAACTTTATTCCCCCTACCCCAAAAGTTGTAAACATAGAATCTTCTTCCATTGTTTTTATTTTGTTCTATTTTATAACCCTTTTAACTAATTAACCCTCAATAAATTTTAATTATTTAACTACATTTCGTTGCTATTTTCATTTAGAATAAATAATTTCACTCAATGTTTATGCTGTCTATTTCAAGTACAAAACCAAACTAAGTGCTAATTATAATATATGTTAAATATTAATAATGAGAAACAAATGTCTATTTTTAAATTTATGGAAATAAATCAAACAAAAAACTAATGAAGTGGAAATATAATTTAATTAACTCCAAATTTTAAATGGAAAAAATAAAAATAAATACAGTTTAAAATTACTAATGTTATTTAACTAAATGTAATGAATAATAGATAGGAATAGATTATTCAATAAATATACATTTTAATTAACCTCTCAAAGAAAATATTAAAATAATTCAATTCAATTAATTTAAGAAATTAACTAACTCATTTGTTGATGAAGAAATTATATTTTTAATTAATTCTTTCAATGAATCAAATGTAGAATAACTGTGTTTGATTATTGTGAAATATAAATCAACATATTCATTAGGAAATATACCATTTTCAATATCTTTAAATAATGGAAGAATTGAATGAATTATTTTAGAATGAACAACTTCAGTTTGATTATTCAAAACACACGAATAAAAAGCTTCAAGTAAAGTCATTTTATCAATGATTAAATTCTTTTCAAAATTATCACATAAATAATCAACACAAAATCCAATAAGATTTGGATTACTTATAATAATTGCTTTAAGACATTTAAGAACTAAACTATAATCTTCATCTTCACATCGTTTTAATAATCTCCCAACAATTTCCAATGTATTTAAAGTAATACAAGTATTCATCCTTGTTTCTAATAACGCATTTTTTAATTGACAAATAACATACATATCAATAGCATCATTATTTGATTCTTCAAGTATAGTTTGTAGTATTTGAACATATGTACCTTCTTCTTGATTGATATCATATGAGGTATTGTCTCCCCATAATCGTTTAGTATAGTTAATCGTTTGTTCATTCATTTGAGTTGTAATGAGTAAACCAAGATATTCATTTTCTTTTCTTAATACATTATTCTCTTCTTCTATAATTTCTATTCTTTGTTTTAGCTCATTCATTTCTTTTCTCATATTTTTGAACTCTTGAATAATTCTGTCATTTGAAAGTATTCCTTCCATATGAAATAATTAGTTCTTTCTTTTTCTATATCCAAACCAAAAAAAATTAAAAATTATTTAAACAATAAAAAAAAAATAAACTAACTGAAGTACATAAAAAGAATTGATGAAATAATTAAACAAATATATATTTAAGTTATTCAAAAATCAAAATGAATTTATTATCTGTTTTTTAATTAAACTTTAAATAGTCTCATTAATATACATCTGTTATATAAATTATATACTATGTTGTTGAATATTTTGTCTCTTTTCTCTAATATAATATTATTTATTTATAATAGTTATTCAATTACTATCTATTAGTTATTTTTCTATGTTGTATCACTCTATAGCTTTTCATTTACTAGTTGAATTATAATTGAAATTAGCAATAACCATCATCTAGAATCAGTTTCTTGTTTCATTCAAAGAACTATTTCTAATTTGTTATATTGTTTAACAAGTTCATTAATTGTTTTTATTACATGAGAATGCTTGATAAAAATTTACTGAATTAAAACGATA